CCATTCCTAGGGAGATGCACACCTCAGGGGCTTGGGACTTCAGCAGTGCACAAAGGGCCTGGCCTTTGTGCTGGGCATCACCAACATCCATTGGCTTCAGTTGGTGCTGTGGGCACACCACAGCCCTGGGACCACACTGCTCGTTTCAAGTCAGACATGATGGAGGGGATGAGAGCAGCAGGGGCGCCCTGGGGAGTTGGTGCCCTGAGCATCAGAAAGAGAGGAAGGGAGTAAGAAGAGAGACTCTCTCCCCACCCGTGTGCTGCATTAGCAAGTCTTGCCGATCCTCCCAAAATAAACTGGACCATCCTGCCTGCTCCCTCTGACTCAGTGAGACAGTGGGAGGCTGGGCTGAGCCTTGGGCCATCCCGGATCGGGGGACCTGGGGCTGAGTTGATCTGAGCTGTCCTGTCCTCCCAAATAGAGCATTAACTAATGCTCCTCAGTGATACTTGTGCAAGACCTCAGCCCAGGTCCCTGGAAGTCACTGGGACGGCTGCCATTGCCTTCAGTGACCTCTGGACCACAGCAGCATCCATGCCATATCTGAGATGCCCTCTGTTGGAGCTGGAGCCATCTCCCAGCCTTGAGAGGGGAGGACTCAGCTAATAGCTGCGGAGGTCCCAACCTCCCAAGCAAACTTTGCCATTTCCCAAGGCGCCAGCCAACACGTCTCCTGGAAGGGGTTAAAAGCCATTCTGATTTGAATTAATTCCGGGTGCGTCTGGCTGCCAACGCTTTGCATTTCAGCTTTTAAACCCGTGTCGTTATTTACTTTCTTAAACCCAGCGCGGAGCCGGCTTCTCTCCTGGCTCCCTCCCTCCGTCTGTCTGTCTGTCGCTCACTCTCTCTGGGAAGCCTCCTTTGTGGCGGTTGCATGGCTCAATGATTCCCAAGTCAGTGCAAATATGGAAAATCCATATCAAACAATGACCCGGGAGAGGGAAGGAGGAAAGCTTCATTCACTGCCAGACTTGCATCTCTCCCCTCTTTCCCCCTCCTCCCGCCAGACGCCTCTGCCACTGCCCTGCCTGCCCTGCCTGTTTTGTGTGTGGAGCAGCAGAAGCGGTCACGCTCCGCACCCTTTGGAGAAGGGAAGGCAGGGGGTAGAGGAGCCCGGCAGTGGGGCTGTGGGTGGAGGGGGGTCACAGAGGAACAGAATGAACTTGTTCTCAGGGAAGCATCCAGACTGGCAGGTTTCTTTTATCCTGTTTCAGTTCAGTAAAAGCCTCAATTAACTCTACATTAATTATTAAATCAGAACAATGCGTCTCTGGGTTCCAACAGCTAGATTCTGTTACTGCCGTTGCTTTGGGGAGCGTGGCTAGTTTTACAACTTAGGACATAAATATCATTCTTCAAGGAGTTTCTGGATGGTTGTTTTCATTTTCCTCTTGCTGGCTGCGTATAGCATTTTTAATGAATACATCTCTGTCTCCGAGCGCTCACGCACGCACAAGGTAGTAGCAGAGAAAGCCTTTGCGGGTCTGTCTGCATTGGGTCAAGTTGAATGCACCCCTTATAGCCTGTAGCACCCTGAAAAAAGCCTTTCCATGCAGCACGTGCTTCCCCCAAGCGCATGCAAGTAGGAGCACTACTAGCAAGGTGAATCCGCCTTCCCAAAATGCTTCTCACCGCACCTCCATTGGTCGAGGTGTCTGCACAACCTGGGCAGCTGGGAGCAGGCTCTTCAGGGCCATGTTCAATAGGAGGGGCTCGCTCAGTTGGAAAGAGCAGAGGATCCCAAGCATGCCCTGCCCTTCCACCTGTGGCCTGTCTTCTCTGCCCAGGCTGGCTGTGAGGATTCAGTTGACCTAGGCCACCAGCAAATATGGACCCCTTACTACCCACCGACTGGATGACAGTCTATGACCCCCAGAGAGCAGAACCCTCTCCGTGCTACTCTCAGTCCCTTGCCAGTCACCCCACTAGCATCATTAACCCCATCCATTGGTACAGATAGCCGCAACATGGTACAACCAGCTGTGGAGCTGCTCCGTGTATCTTTGTGTGGTGCAAGCATCCAGAAGCGGGTTGGGTGATCAGAAGTTGGGTGGCACGTCCAATTTCTTCCCTCCTGCTCCCAGCACAGCAGCGTGACATCATGTCTTGGCACAGTACTGCCTTGGTGGATCCCCCTTGGCCCATGACTTGCTTGTCCCAGCGAGCCCAGCTCTAGTACTCCCTACGCTCACGATTGCCTCTCCCAATCCAGCCTTGCAGGACCTCTTCAAGCTCTTACTCCTGTGGGTTAGTGTATTCCTGCCTTCTGCCTTCCTACCAGACCAGCGTCTGATGAATGCCTTCCCTAATGAGAACAGTCCCAGGGCCATTCAAGACAGCTCTCCCCGGAGGCTGCCCTCCCACTTCCTACCCAAGCAGATTGGAAGCGCTAAGGTGAGCCTGGCTCTGGCTCCAGCAAAATGCTGATGTTTCTAGTGGGAATTTAGTGCCTCTGGGAAGCAGCCAGCTTGACAGCACTGGATGCCACAGCTCCGCAGCCACGGAGCAGGCACGTTACAGCCTGGCAAGTTGCCCCCTTCTGCTCTAAACTGGAGGGGAGCAGCATAAGGGTCAGGGGACTTCCACCCCAAGTGCTGCAAAACCTCCAGCCCTATAGAAAAAGGCAGAAGATTTAAGTTCTCACCTCCACCCCTATTTTTCCTCCCTCTCTTTCCCTTGTTGTGAGCGGTTAGCTGCTTCCCTCATTGTGTGCAGAATAAATGAATGTGATGAGAAGCCCCTGGGGCCATATTCACAGCTGGAAAGAGCAGGAGTGACCCCAAGGGCTTCTCTGCCAGTGTCTGGGCCTCCTAGTCCCTCAAGCACCTTGTGTGACAGAGAGGACTGGCAAGGAAATGTGCGGTTCAGGCGTGAGACAACATGGGGTGAGGTGGGGAGCAAGAGACGTTGCAGTGGGGAAGCGAAGGGGCAGAAGATGGAGGGAGGGGAAGGGATGAAACAGAGCCTAGAGATTTCCTACCTAAATTGTGATTCTCAGGCATACAACCCTGTCCAGTTTCCCAGCAAGAGGGTGACACAATGGTGCTCTTTCCCACCTCACCCCAGGCCCAAGCAGCACAGTTCCTCTGGGCCAACAGCAATGGTTTCAAGCAAAAGCTTTCTGGGAACTGAGAGCCCTACGCTGTTCCTTCCTATGCCCTTGTCTTTCATCAAGGATATCTATCTATCTATCTACTGATATCTTTGAGGAGAGAAAAAGAGCAGTAATAGGATACATATAAATAAATATAAATGACCGGGTGAATTGCTCAGAATAGGTTGGATTTGGAAGGAATGCCCTCAGCCCAGAGGCATCATGCCATGCTTCTGCTTCCTGGCAGCACCAGCACCATGAGTCGTTTGGCCCTTGGCCATGGTTTTTGGCTGACGTTACCGGCTAAGGGCACTCTAGGAGACGGTGGCCTTTGGGACACGGATGCCCATCCACAATGAAAGGGGCTAAGACCCAGCATGTCGTTTCACAGGAGTCATCCAACAGCTCCGCCATGATGCCTTCGGTGCCACGGGAAGGCTTTGTCCCACTTCTGAGGCTTCTGGCCCCCCTCCAGACAGCTCTGCCTGAGAACGTGCCCTGAACGAGATCCAAAATCTCAGCAGACCCTTTAGTGCTTCCAAAGCCAGGTAAACACTTTCAGTGTCACCTCTGGGGCATCTGCCCCGGGATCACCATCCTCTCCACTGACACGCATCAGTCTAAGTCCTGTGAGTTCACCTCCTGCTGGGCACCTGCACTGCAGGCATCCCATGATAACAGCATGACAGCGAGGGTTCAGGCTGGATAAACAGCAATCCTGCTTCTGTTTTGGCAGTCACTGAACCAGGGAACTCCAGCCCTAGCTAGAGCAGGGGACAATGGAGGCCCTTTTTGCAACTCAACCCACATGGGAGCAGCCCACATGTGTTGCAAAGATAGATAGTTTCTATGCACTTAGACAAGAACCAACTCACCATCATCTGTGCGTCACAATCTGGAGTACCAGATTTGGCTTCAGAGATAGTAAAAAAAAAAAAAAGAAATCCCTGAAATCCAATTAACCCTCTCTTCCAAACAAGAATGACTAGCTTTTCCCCTTTGACTTCTCCCTTCTGCAGCATCACTGACTGGTGTCTCACAACTGAATCTGGCCTGAGATGCTTGGGGAGGGGGAGCTGGAGAGTTGACCCAAAATCTCTGCATGGCTCCAAGTTCTCCCAGCTCCCTAGAAAAGGTTGGGTCCTCAACTGCTCTCTTCAGCATCGCAGCTGCCTACTGCCCTCAGGGCCTGTCTTAATGAAATTCAGTCAGTGACACAACGCAGCATCTAATGCATCGTCTCTCACAGCCCTGGGAGAAATGCGCTGGGAATTTAAAAAGCCAAACCGCAGCCCTTCCCCGAAAACGGATTTATTTGGGACTGCACCCTGCCTTCAGTTACACTTGCTCCATCTCGCTGAGTTCAGCGGAGCGGCACGAGTGTAAATGAGGACAGGATTTGGGCCTTGGCTAGGTGTTGGACGCTCAGCGCCGAAGTCTGTCCTGAGCCGATGTCCATGTAGCTCCTTAAAATGCGGGGGGTGTTGGTCCCCATGGAAAAGGGCCTTCTTGCTCAGAGCGGCCAAAGGTGGAAGTGAGACAAGGGTACATGGAGACCTTTGGAGCAGGGGACAGAGCTAACAATTTTTTTTTCTAGCCTAACTTTGGAAAGGGATAAGTGCGTAAGTGCAAAAGTGGGGTGAGCGGGGAGGAGAGAGAGAGAAAAACTGCTGAGAATGGACAAAAGCAATAGGAGGGCAGACTTGGCCAGACCAGCGGGGTAAAGAGATTGCCCTGCCAGTGTCCAGCTGGCCAGCCTGCCCTCCTTACTGTCTCCCTCGCTCTCCTCCTCAGACTGGGGGAGCTGGCACTGCTTCATGCTTGACCTGCAATGCCGCCAACAGCCTGTGATTTGTTTTGCCTCCGCTGGAAAGGGCTGCGATTTTTGCCGTAGCGAACTTACTGTCTGTCAGCCCACGCGTCCTCCAGCGATGCCATCGACCGTGGCTCTCCAGTGCTCTCAGTTATGAGGGGAAAAAAAATAAATATATTAGAGAAGCCTGTTTCCAAGTTGCCTTTTTAAAGATGCTGCAGGGCAGTAGAACGGGCCGGAAGGAAAACAGCAGTAAATATTTCATTTTATTCTCGAACAGGATTTTAAAAAATAGCCATTTAAAAAAAAAAGTCTCGTTGCTTGCCTGTGTGTGTGTGCACGCACGCGCGCGCACATGGGCGAGAGCTGTGCACTCACCATCGGCACACATCATGCTCAGAGCTTGACTGACTGATTTTATGATGCCTAGGTGCAAGGTTATCCTGGGAGGCTGTTCTCCAGGGGATCAAGAGTGCAGACTTTGCGTTCAGAAGCAGCAGCCTCTGGAGCCAGATCCAGACGTCTGGGAGCACCTGTCATGCAGATCTGCCTGAAAGACTCTGCCCAGGGCTCTGGGTCACAGGCAAGCAGAAGGCAGACAGGAAGGCGCACAGAAGGCAGAAGAGATGATGTGTGGAGCAGTGGCACGGCCAGCCAAAGAGGAGAAGAGGAAGGATAATCTTGAAGTAAAAGACGGTGGGGACCAGGACACTTAGGAGATCTGGGTTCAATTCCTGGACTTGCTGTGTGATCCTAGGCAAGTTGTAGCCAGCCTTACTTTTCAGGAAAGGCAGACGCTCGCAGGGTAGCAATGCCAAAAGCACACATCTCTGAAGTACCAGCCTGATTGGCTTCCCGAGGGATTTGCACTCCTGAGAAACTTTTGCAAGGCACCTCCTTCCTGGCAGGAACTGGGCACCACTTCCAAGCAAGCACCTCGGGTCCTTCCTTGCAAACTGGGGGTAATACTTATGATGACCCCACCTCGTCCCCAGCCCTTTGCATGGTGCTTTGGGAACTCTGAAGAAACCTGCTATAGAAGTTCACAGCCAACAAAAGAGGCATTTACTTCAGGGGCGGGCAATTATTTCGGGCAAAGGGCCACTTACCAAGTTTTGGCAAGCTGTCAAGGGCTGCATTTCTCTCTCCCGCTCAGAGAAGCAGGAACAGCTCCACAGTCCCAGGACAGACACCTCTGCTAGGCAGGGGCTTCTGTTTGGGGAGCCATGGCTATGTGGGCCTTGCCGCTTGGTCCCACTGCCGGCTTCCCCTGGGTCCTGCTGCCCTGGCTCCTGTCATCTTTGACAGGCAGCCAGGAGTACATAAATATTACATTTTCTAAATTTTTTAGGGGCCCCACGGGCCGGATAGAATGGCCTGGCAGGCTGGATCTGGCCCCCAGGCCATATTTTGCCCACCCCTGGTTTACTGGCACTGCAGCTGTTGGAGGAAGGCCAGCCCAGGGCATGCACACTGTTTGACTCATATTCTCTTCTTTGTAGATTCCTCTGGGCTGGGGCTTTGTGCTTCTGCTTGCTCTTTAGGAAGCCTGAGGTGCTTCTGAGTGCCATGAAACAACTCAGTAATAATATAATGAAATCATATTGATTATCATCAACAAAAACGAGGATGAAGATATACTTCCAAATGTTATCCAGGCTCTCAGCCTGGCGAGAGCTGAGGCTGAATTGCAGTGTTCAAGGGTTGCAGGAAGATTCCCAGTTGGGATTGTTTAAGTATCAAAAGATAGAAAAATTCTCCCTCATTGGCATCTAGGGGAAGGCAGACAGAATTGTGTCCCATGCTCTAATATTTTCAGAATTAAGCTGACAATGGCAAATGGCAGAGAAATTTAGGGGCAGTGGCCAAAGAGAAATACGTTTGTCTGCATGAGAAGTTTATTTTCTCTGCAGAAGGAAGAAAAGCTTGAACCTTAAGCCCCTTCCTCCTCTCAGTTACTTAAGATGTAAGCCAATGACCACAAGGGGATTATTCCTTTGCACCAGCTTGACAGCAAATCAGGCCCAGATTCTATGTCGGGGAAAGGAAAAGGAAGCTAGCTAAACAACCTAGTTAAATCTGCACCGATGGCTCACTCGGCACTCCATCAAAAGAGGCACAGCGTAGAACAAGGGTGGGCAAAATGTGGCCCGCGGTCTGGATGTGGCCCGCCGTGCCCCTAAAAAATTTAGAAAATTAATATTTATCTGCTCCTGGCTGCCTGTCATGCAGCCCTCGATGGCTTGCCAAAACTCAGTAAGTGGCCCTCCGCCCGAAATAGTTGCCTGCCCCTGGCATAGAAGGATTTCTCCCTTTTCCTGGCAGTAGATGCTTACTTTCAGCCACAAGACCAGGATGTTCACCCCAGCATCTCAAAGAACACACCTTTCACAACCAAATCTCATACCGTTCTTTGGGGCTATCGTATAAATGTTGTTACTCTGCTGTGGCCACGGGAAGTCAGGAGCCGGGAACAGAACCCAGGCACCCTGACATCCCAGACCTCGGCTCTGATGTACAGACGATGCTCTCTCCATCGGCTGAGTACGTTTTGGGCTTGCAAACCAGGTGACAATGTCACACCCTTTCCTACAAGCAGCAAGAGTACAGTTCCCCACCCCCTGTCGCAGCATTTCGCTTTATGGTATCCACTTTGGGGCAGTAGCCAAGCAATCTGCAGCCATTAGAAAGCCCTAGCCCAATGGCAAAAGAAGGTGCAGTCCCCCGCAGCCTAGTGGCAGGGGGAGATTTTTGATAGTGGGCTTGATCCAGAGCCGGATGGAGCCAATGGAAACCTTGCCATGGAGAGGAAGATTGCTTTGGACCAGGTCTCATCTGAAATCTGTGGTTCTCACAGGGATACTGGAAGGGAACCCAGAGAAGATGCAAGTAGGAGCCCAGTGGGGGCAAGAGCAGGGGGCAGGCTGCTTTCTCTCCCTGCTCCGAGTACCCACTTTCATACCATTAATTATTTGTGCTATTAAGCAAACATGAGCACCTGCAGAGCGGATAGAGGCAGAGGGCTGCTCCTAATTGGAAACAGCCAGCTTGTTTATTTCTGGGTTTTTTTCCCCATTGTCTATTTTGGTTCCTACGACAGCCAAAGTTGGGAGCTGCACTGTGGTGACCTCCTCACAGCAGCTGGCCTGCTTGTACGCATTCACAGCGGCCAGAAAGACATACCAGATGTATGGTTCATAGAGCATTCCCAATGGGTGAAACCCACCCCTTTGCGGGGTGGGGGGGCAGCCCAAGGTCATTATGCCATATAAGCCCCGGGGTACACAGAGGCGGGTCCCACACTGGCTCCAAACAGGCCAGCGCAGCAGGGAGTTGGCTCACGGACAGGGCTGGCGGATACATGAGCAGGCAGATCCCATAGCTGGAAGTCTTCAGGTGGGGGCAAAGAGAGGGGGCAGCGGCTGCGATCCCAAGCCCAGTGCTGGGAAAAGTGGCTGTGGAAGGGCTTCCCCAGGCCCCTGTGGCCAGGAGTGTGGAGGGCAGAGTCTGTTGCATCCATGCACCACCTCCTGCTTAATCCCCTCCACATTGCTCATCCATCGGCTGTTTTATGGTGAAGGGCAAATCTCCCCCTGAGAAAGCAGGTGCAGGGAGCCAGTGTCACTCTGTGGTACCTGTGGCCTGTGCTGGCATGCCCACCAATTGGCACCATCAGCTTAATAGGAACACCAAGCACTGTGGAGTCAAATGAGAGGAAGAGGAAGGTGAGCTCAGGGGTCAGCATTAGTGATGGACAGCAGTGGAGTCACTTCACATGAGGACAAGCGAGCCCACAGGGGCTTTGTTGTGTAGACATGAAGCACTCCACCCTAATGACCCCTTAACCATGGTATCCAGCCACTGCATTGCATGAATGAGATCCCAGATTAATCCTCTTCAAGCAGGACCTAAACCAGTGGTTCACAGCCTCTTTAGTCTCAAGGCCCTGCTCAGAAAATGCCAGCTCCCAGTTTTCACTCATTTTTTAACAACAGAAAAATACTAGAGCAATTGTTCCGTTGCAAAGAACTCAGAAAGCCCACAACGGGTCAGAGTGTTTTTAACCCTGGATTCCTGTTTGAAATCTCTGGGTTTATCTTGTGAATATTGGCACGCGTAACGGAGCTAACATTGCACGGTACCCCCCATGGCACCCTTGAAAGAATCTCAAGGCCCCTAGTTGAGCATCACTGACCTATTCCCTGCTCTTCCTCCCCCAGCATCAATCTGACTTGATGATAGCATTGTTGGTGATGCCATTTTCAGTCCGTACCCTTGGGCGCCTCCATTCCTAATTATCCCACGCCAGCCTGGTTCCATTGACAGCCACCGCTCTATGAAGGGATAAAGCAAGCAACGGGCCTGGCTTGGATGAAAAGAGTCTCAAGAAAGAGCCTGTGCTCAGGCAAACCTTCAAGACAAGCAAGTCCTCAGAGGTGGGAGAAACTGCCATGAGGCCCCTTATAACCAGCACAACGTGGGCTGTTGGGGAGGAAGGGGGAGCGGTGCGTGCCATGGACTTCTGGCTTTGCAGGGTAGGAGGGACAGACTGGATGAGGCTTTAACACACACACACACACACACACACACACACACACCCCCGTTGAAAGGCTGTATCAGCTCCCACTCTCCAGCCCCCTGCCACCCCCAAGAAAGGGCAGCCTCCCTGCAATTAAGAACCAGTTAGTTATACCAATCACCAGCCTAATTTTCACCTTTTGCTTTGATAACTCAAGAGCCTGTCATTAAGTGGGACCAAAGAACCATGAATGCCGAAGAGGACTCGGCTGGAGAAGTTTTGCAGACTGCGGGTGAGTTCCTCTTCTTTACTAGTACAATTATGCTTTTAAAAAAAGATCCCTTTTAAGTTACAATAAGAATAACAGACTCCCCCAGCCAAAGACTGACCAAGAAACCCCATCACCTCATAACTCCTACATACGTCAAACTGATAACTCATGAAGAAATAAACATGACCCAGAGGACGGGGGGAATAAAGAACTCTGTTCTTTAAACCTATCCATTACATAAACTGTGGGCTAAGCCCGGGAGGAGGGAATGGACCCAAGGCGTCGTGGCAAGCTGGGGGAGGGGGCAGGTATTGTAGCTTTGGAAAGAATTGCGGTGACTTGTTACAGATAAAATCCTGGAGGGA